CTGATACTCATCTGGCTTCTTCGATTGAGGAGTGGGTACAGCTTGGCAGTTGTTACCTTAACCTTGTCGATGGCTGTTTTTATGTGCTTCTTCCAGGTCAGCTGCATACTGATTGGAGTTTTCATTAGTTACAGATATCTTGATTACATTTTTTGCGTCCGAAGCGATACAAAGCTTGCATTTAAAGTGCATCAGCTTTATGTATAGTTTACGTTTAACTGATCAAAGTTAAAAAGCTTGGTTGATGAAGAAGGTTCTGGTAATCTCAAAAAATGGTTGGGGTTTCTTCTTCTGGTGCTATTGGCGTCCCTGGCAACGCAACAGGTAGCCCAGAAGTAGGGTTAAGTTTTTGTTGTGTTTGTAAACTGATTTTTAATAATACAGTGCTCTAAGCTGTTTATACTCATCTCTTGTTGTGTCACACTTTGTGATCTGTTTGGAGATGGATGAGGTAAATATCTTGGCATGTCCACAAAGCATTTGTTATTGTTTATATTTAAATAGTGCGGCAATTTAGGCAAGAAACAATGCGGGTTACAGTAATTGCTGTTTGATTTAGCCATTGTTTGCAAGGAAAATGGGGCCCAATTTGAGTGCACCCTGCTGATGAAGATGATTTTTTTATGACAAAACGCACTTTATTACCGTGCATAAATGTCCATTTTGGCAAGTAAATGTTAAGATCGAAAATTGCGCTGATCGGTTTCAAAGGTAATTTTTCAGGATATCCAACTAAACCTTGCCACAAATCTAGGTTGTTTTGTGGTTTATCGGGCTTGGGAAAATGCGGGTTTTTCAGCTCTTTTGTCATTGAATTTTTCATTTTGTCACCACTTTTTCCTAATACAATACCATTTCAAAATAATGCTTAATAACAAAGTTGAAATTCGATCTTCAACTGTTCTTATAATTTTCAATATTTTTCTCGTACAACCCAAGGGAGCCTCTATCACCCCTTGAAAGGAATGACGCCAATTTTGAATCACCCTGTATAGACAAGGTGTATTCAACTGGTAAAATGCATTTTTTTAATTTCGCTTTTAATTTGCAATTTGATTTTCTATTGGCCGTCAATATGCCTCGATCTCTGTTCTGTGTTATTAAATAATATCACGAAACGGAGTGTTCTTGTGAAAAGTAGCGAAAAACCGCATTTTCACATGAAACACCACTAAGAAAAGTCGTTGGTAAAGAGATTGTCTATTAGGTAAACTTCGAAATATTGTTAACTTCGAACGCGAGCGCCTGATAAAATAAGAAAATTCTCCAAATCTATGGTTTTATCCTGAAGATAGTCCGTTTGAGGTGGAAATTGTTCCAAATCTTGGCTTCCAAATGGGCCCCAATAATTGGGAACTTGTACAAAAAATTAAATTAGAAAAATATTACTAGCAAATGTACCTTAATACTAATAAAAACACCACAGTTTACCAAAAAACTCATTTTTTATTTCTATGTAATTAATATAAGCAATAAAAAACTATATAATTCAAATCACACTTGTAACGCGTCGTCATTGGCTGGGACCAGTTGTGACGTCAACTAGCTATTTGGTCGCGGCGGCTGCAATGCAGAGCATGTAAACATGTAATCTCAGTCTTGATATTGTCGTTAAAACGTTTCTATAGTGTATCAGGAGAAAAGTAAAATCTTTCAAAATGACTGACCCAGGTTTTGTAAAAAAGGATAATCTGTCATTTTACCACTGATGGATATGTTAATGGTGGCATCTTACATTAAAAACACCGAAAGTTTTACTCCTGCTGAAGTTAGAAGAAGCTGAAGAAGCGGTGTTAAAGCTAACAGGTAGATTTCCGGACAAAATAGTCAATAGTTTTAGTTATATAAATCGATAAAATGTTAGATTGCAGTTTTAATGGCTATAATTTTCAAAATTCAAACAGTACCTATTGATCAAAATGTAAGTGATTTAATAAAAAATAAGAACATATTGTTTTCATGCTAGTAAAAACTAAAACACATCAGTAAAAGTGATTTGGCATTTGTCAGACCTCCCATTAACTTGAATTTAACATAGTTATCCATATCTTCTTCCTGCTGGAATAAATAAATAATATTAAAGCTATATAAAAATATGTGTTAATGTTCATATTGCGTGACAAAAATATTAGATATTTAACGTAAATACACGACGATAAAACGAGATTTTTCCTTCTCAGATACTTATTGTTTCTTTTTTATCGTCTACTATAGCAAATAACTATGTTTGAGGTTATTATTTACTATTACTATAATGCAGCCGAGAAACAAAGTAAATATCTTAATAAAAATTCTTATCCGAAATCTAAATTCAAAATGTATATCTGCTATACGATAGACAAAATTAAATCTGTTTTTTATACTTACATTAAAATGATCTTCACATACATAGACAGTAGTCTTCTCAGAAATATCCTTGTGAGCTCTTCTGCATGCCTTTCACCACTTTAAACGCCAGCTTTTATCTCATGGTACACGAATAAATAGCTTATCTGGCGTTTTAAAAGTTGTACTAGGACACATTGACACGATACAGCATTTGTAATATTGTTTTTGTGTTGCTTCTATTATTAATAAAGCACAGCACGAATTCTGAACAGTCAAACATCCAGGCAATTCAACGACAAGCCGTATTCCCATATAAAATGTCGCTTTCATCGAAGAACTCTTCAATCGTAATCCTCCAGAGAAAATTTTTTTTTTTGATAAATTATTGAGAGTTTTCAATTATATCTAGACAGCAAGGATTACTCTCTATCTATATCTATATCTATATTTTATCGTTGACGCTGAGACAATAAGATGACGTCTACTGATTATATTATCGGAGGTAATTGCACAAGTGCTTCAAAATTATCTGTTTATTTTGATGCACGAGTATAATTTTGATGAATATATCCTGAGTAAACAAAGTAAATGTGGATTCATTTTATTTCTTTATATTTTATTACCCTTTAAATTTTGTTACTTATGTTTATTAAATTTAATTTGAATATCTTAGGTATGTCAGGAAGACATTTGATGTCTAATTCAACATGAAAAGACACCCGTCAAATATTTTTTGTAAACAATGCAATTATCGTTGAGTGATAATTGCACACTTCAAACAGACAGATTATCATACGAAGGAAATATTCATAACAATACTTGTTTTTTTTTTAATTATCGAATTACCGCTTATTAATACCTTTCTTGCTCTGTAGTATTAGTATAGATGAGCGGTACCACCCCATCTTCTAATTGAATAACGCGTAAACTACTGGACTTATGTATAAGTACTATACTATGTTTGGATACATTTTATATATATGTACTTATATATAATGAAATGATTCATCACCCCTTAAAAGGAACCCTGTAGATATGAAACACATTATTCTGATCAACATTAACAGGACATCATTGTAATGCATACCGTACTACTGCTTAGCATCTTGCTCCCTTACAAAATACACGAAAACCTACTGAATAACTCACACTGATGAATCAATGATGATTGTTCTAATATTATTATTATTATCTGCACAAATAAGTGTATTTTTCAAGATTAAGTTTTTTAATAAATTTTATTGGTGCAATTAATACTACTATGCAATAGGACTCGGCAACCCTGTCTAGTGTGTATAGATTTAAGGTTAAGTTGTTAAAAGATCACTGAAGTACACGCGTGCAATGTTTAACAAGAAGCAATTGTTTTATTCAAGAAAAATATATCAATTCCCACAATACTCAACAAATTCAATTATATTGAGATCAGCAATTATTTTAGTAATTTCAATAGCACCATTAATATCGTTTTCTAACCTCTAAAGACATTGAAGCAAAAATCCACGAAAACGTAGAAGTTTAAAATAACGGCTCCCTGTGACACGATCGAAAATATCTGATGAGTCGTAAGAACTGTTTCAAATGGGCGACTTGAGAGCTATCGCCTTCCCCAGTTGGACAAAAATCTCCAAAATTTGATGAATAGTCGAATATTTTATTATTAGATTAGATTAGGATTTTTTTATTGAGCTGTCTATCCACAATTAAGCTTGATGAGAAATTCCTAACCTTTAAAAAGTGAAAACTCTTTTCCTTAGAAATTCTCAACTCTTACAAAGTAAAAATATCAAACTTTAAGAGAAAAYCGACCTTGATCAGCGTACTCTTTGAAATTAGGGCCAGATAGTCCTGCCTGCCCTGGATTTAACTTTATCAGAAAGTCCTCCTAAYMTCTGAAAAGATAGAAGCAAAATTTAAGAAACGCCCAACGTGTTGACTATCGCAACATTCGTAAGGTGTATATTCGGAAACTGTMTTTTAATAAAAATATTAAACTGGTGGCCTTTTCGGCATTTCCAATTTTATGGGAAACCTTGATTGGTAATATACGGCCAATATAATCAATTCTGCCCAAGTTTGTACGGCAACTTAGCGGGTCAAACTTTCATCAGGTTGTTTGGGTTAAATAAATGCAATAAAACTCAATATAGATCAGTATCTTTTATTCTCTAACAATAACTGTTCATGGCTTTTTAGAGGCTCATCACCATCCAAACTGCCGTAAACCGATATAAGCGGCTTTTGAAAAAAATTGACTCTTACCATACAATAAAATAATCCCAATAGGTTCACGGCAGAGCCATTTACCAATTCCTTCACGTGTTTCGTTACAAACTCATTTTGATTTATTCGTTTCCACAGTGTCTATTTGCTTTATTTAATGTCCGAAACCTAACAGGACAACCAAGAGTAAAAACCCTAGTTCTAACTGAAGAATGCCTAGATCAACTCGTTAAATCGCTATTTTGAGGGTGCTAAATTCCCTTTTACATATTTATTTGGTTTTCTTTTAAGTGCAAAGCTTTACAATTTATGGGAGAGCATGTTCAACTACTTGCCATCTAAAATGATGGGATGCGACTGGACGGTCACCTTTGATCGGGCAGATGTTCGTTACTTGGTCATTGTTGCAATTCCTCAAAGGTCTACACTTACGAAGGTGCCACCAGTCCAGTCGATCCACTCTAGGAAATGAGTCGTTTTTTTTTCTTGAGATTTAGACAAAATATTCAGTTTTTTTTTTGGTTTTGATGTAGCGCGTAGTTGCGAAAGTTGCACGATCGAGGGACTTTCTAGTGAAGGGCATAGTTAAAATAGCTGAAACCAGACACAATTTCATGGTTCAGTGGTTTGATTTCGCAGCAACTAGGGGCTATTGTWCAATATTCCTATTGTCGGCTGATTTTGCAGTTTGTTTACTCAAAACTGCAATTTCAAATAGTTTTCTATTAAATGCGGTMTGATTTGTAAATGCWACASAATTTCGTGAGGAATTCGAAKAACACTTTGGTTATCATCAACTATGAAATTCGCCRTCYGAGAMTATACTGRGTGATTTAGTTTTTAAATGGAACTGGAAGTCAAAGAGGCGATAYAACTCGCWGAACTATTCTAAATTAGAGAGTWWATTGAAATGTGTCCGCAAACATTCCGTCTACAACTCTTCTAACGTTTGCAGTTTTTGAGATTTTTGCCTCAAATTTCGGAAAGTTACARAAATTATGTTGCAAAAAATGCAAGAGACAAGAAAGTGTGTAAATTGGGATCAAGGGATCGAGAACAAGAAMGAAWCAAATRGTTAGATTTCAGGGGCGCGCCACAAACAAGTTTGTGATGCTTAAAGTGGTCGTAATCCCGAGAAAAATATCACGCTGTATATTATTTCAACAATTGG